CGCCGCCGCGCCTCCCTCCACCGTGCGCCGCCGCCGCGCCTCAGACTGAAGAGCGCCGGCCCCGCGGAGCCGCCTTAAGTACCGAGCGCGACCCGCCGGGAGAGGCGCCCTCCCCCGGCCCCGGGGCCCGGAAAGTTGGCAGGAGTGGGAGGGTTCCCCGGGAAGCACCGGGTGCCCGGCTCGGTCGCAAGGAGCCCACCGGCCGGCGCGGCGCGGGCGCGGGCTCCCGCGTGGACGCAGCTTCGCGGGTTCGTAGGCGCAGCCTCTGCGCCCTCTCGGGAGCGTGGTTCCCCCAGTGCGGCCCAAAGCCGAGCTGCTCCACGCTGCCTGGCTGAGCCTAGGCCAGCTGCGCAGGGCCGGCGGTTATTGTGCCCAATCTAGAGCTCTCAGCGTCGATAACTTTCGAGGTAGTCCTCGGTACGTCCGAAACCGCGACTCCGTCCCCACCCCAGCCATACCTTCCAAGCCTGGAAACCCACTCACCCTACAAAGCCGGCGAGTCGGACAAACCTCCTTTAGCTCCTGCCGCATGCCGAAGGCCGTTCACTGGAAAGAGGATGCCCTAAACCAAAGCAGCACAACCTTTCTGGCGGCAAGAGGAGAAAAGAGTAATTGTAAAATATAAAGAGGCCGGCTCAAGAAGGTACTTACAATCATGGTAACGTTAGCTCTGAATTCCGCAGTGGAGCGCTGATGACATTAAGGCTGTTTGCAAAAGCTGCAAATGGTTTTTGCAGCAGTCTTATAAGTTCCCGTGTCTTGACTCCAAAACCCTCCCTCCCTCTTATACCTTATTTCCCTGACCTCCAAAATCGCACTGACCTTCTAAGTTCCTTAAAACGCTGGTGCTAGACTTGGGTGAGGTAAAGCGGAGGAGCGCAGAAGAGGAAGTCCTTAGGAAGGAAGGTTAAAACCTGCTGAAGACACTAGGCTTTTATATCTTAGAAGAGCTTTAAGAAAAATAATTAAGTAGCCGGGTGTGGTGGCACACGCCTGTAATCCCAGCATCCAGCATTTGGGAGGGTGAGGCAGGAGGATCATTGCAAATTTGAGACCAGCCTGGGCTATAAAGTGAGCTCAAGACCAGCCTGAACTGCATAGGGAGACCCTGTCTCAAAAAAACAACCAAACAAAAAACTAGTAAAAAGTGAATTACATGTTCTCCAAACATCTGGGATAATTTCCATCACTTTGTAAGCCTCAACAAATGTGTAGGGTGACCGGGCGTGGTGGTGCACTCCTGTAATCCCAGCACTCGGGAGGCTGAGGCAGGAGGATCGTTGTGAGTTCAAGGCCAGCCTGGGCTACAAAGTGAGCTCAAGGCCAGCCTGAACTGTATAGCAAGACCCTGTCTCAAAAAGACAAAAAAAAATAAAAAAATAAATGTGTAGGGTGGGTAGCAGTCTATAATCTGCTCCTCTCAGAAGCCTTAGGAGTGCCAGGTCTTGCCTGAACCTCTAAACCCTTAGTCAAAGAACTGAGCTTCCTACCACCAGGTAAGCAAAGACCCCTGGCACACTTGCTTCACCTGCCCCCATCCTGCAGGACAAATACCGAACTATTTCACACTGCTTGGGAAATCATCTTATGCCAGTTGAGATAAAAGTGTATGACTTTGGAAAACTCGTGTTAGCCCCACAATGTGTTTTGGCCTTCAGATGGCTCAACGAGCTCTATGAGAACTGTCAACACCAGAAGAAGAGCGGGTGCTCAGGATCAGCCGATCAGTTTTGCCACCAGTTGCATGACTGTAAACTTCAGCGTCTCCAGCCCAGTTGGGTTGACAAGGATTGCTAGGAGGCTTCAAGTCATTGGCTGAGAGCTGTCAGCTCATCACCTCACCCAGAGCGTGGTATCACATGCCCATCTCTCCAGAGCACTTGGTGGCACAAGTTCAGGGGTCAGCGTGAATAAATGAACAAATGCCTTGTTCCTGTTGCACTATGGGCCTGTGGAGCTCTGGGCCACCTGCTCCACAGCCAGAGGCATCAGACAGCCTGGAGCTGCCGAAGACTTGATCCTACCTCCACCCCAAAGGTGTAACATTTCAGATCAGGGAACAGAAGCAGGGCTGAGCAGACAAAAATGGGTGCATGGGGCGACCCAAGCAGCATGGCCAAATAGCTCTATTGTCAGAAGCCAGAAGTCCAGACTTCTAGGTAAAATCTCCCCATTTTGGCGGAGGGTGCTGGGATTCGAACTCAGGACCTTGCACTTGCCAGGTAGGTGCTTGTGCTGCTGAGCTATATCTCTGGCTCCAAATCTCCCAATTTTTAAGAGTTGGCAGCTAATTCAAATGTTTAAGAAAGCACTCTGTAGGTCAGGCTGGAGATGTCTGATTCATATCCAGCCACCTGGCTGCTTACATTGTAAGTGACCTGCTCAGGAGCACAAGGAGTGGAGCAGCCAGTTTGGAAAGACCGCCTCGCCCTGAACATGACAGCAACCTGAGTTCTCTGGGTACAGGTTCTTCACCCCACGCCTCATCCACGACTGTCTCCCGCCTGTTTTCTAAGGCTCCAACTATGACCTACAAACTTCTTGCCTCTCTCTCTCTGCTGGCTCCGGAGTGGGGCTGGTTCAGCACAATCTTACCAGTTAATTAAAACCTCCAAAATGAATACATATCATAAGAACAGTCAACCTTCTGCCCATACCAATTGGCTTTGCCCCTAAACGGCTTCCCCTGGGAAGCAAGCTCTCTTTCTGATCTGCAGGGCCAGGGACTGAGCTGGTGTTATCAGGCAGATAAGAGTTTTTACCTTTGTGGGGCCTGTGCCAGGCAGGGTTTGTCTGTGATTAACATCCTGTCTGAGGTGCCCACGTGCATTCATCCTTTTCCAAGGAGGTGGGTAGGGAAATCTTTAAGGGACGGATACAATAAAGCTGAGTTTCCCATCTCTGCTACCACTGGGGATTTAGAAATAGGGCTAATTTCATGTCCAATCACAGATATGAATTTAGCTGTCACTGAATTGGTTTTTATGTGGTGTTTTTTTTAAAGACAGGGTCTCACTATGTAGCCTAGGCTGGCCTTGAACGCACAGTGATCCTCCTGCCTCAATCTCCCAAGTGCTGCGATTACAGATGTACACCGTCAGGCCTGGCTCCTAAGCTGGGCTTGAACTAGTGCTCCTGCTGCCTTAACCTGCTGAGTACTAGAATTATGTACTGTATCACCATGCCCAGCTATGGTGTGAATCTTAAATGTCCCCCAAGAGGCTCATGTGTTGAAGGTTTGGGTTCCAACGCAGCCATGTTCAGAGGCGGGCCTTTTCAAAGGGGTCTATCCTCATGTGTGAGTTAATTCACAGATTTGTAATTTGATGGCATTACTGGGAGGCAATGGGAATTTAGGACATGGGACAGAGCTGAATGAAATGGGTCATGGGCTGAGCCCTTGGTGACTGTGTCCCGTCCCTGGCCTTTTCCTCTCTGGCTCTCTCACCGGAGACTTGAGTCTCATTAGTGACTTCTGCCTCCTGGCTGCCATGAACACTTCTACCACGATGTTTCTGCCTCACCACAGGCCCCAAAGCAATGGAGTCACCTGATCGTGGGGTAAAACCTCTGAAACCGTGAGCCAAGATAAGCCTTTTCTCCTCGGCTCTCCTCGGGTGTTTTGTCACATAGCTGGAACGCTAACACGTGTGTTTCACACGCTCAGCCTCCCTATTTGCTCAGTAGTAAAAGATTCACACTGTACTTTTCGCGCTCACTTAATAAATGCTAGAAACCTGCCTGTAGCAGATGCTCAGCACCCAGGAGTCTCAGGATTCCCTGCCATCGAGAGGGTTGTCTGTTTTGAAGACAAATGTAGTTGAAAAATTAAGCCACCATACAAGGCCTTTTATAATTAAATGTTGATGAGAGATCTAACTAAAAGAGGTCAGGGGTTTCAGGAAAGAGATCTCTGGAGTATTTTTATTTTGACTGTATTTGGGATTGAACCTTATGGCCTCACCCATGACAAGCAAGTGCTCCACCAATGCGCTGTGTCTCCAGCCCTTTCTAAAACTTATTTTAAGACAGGGTCTCAGCCAGACTGAAGGACAGCAGCCAGATAACCCTGTCTTCCTGTTGTCCTTCCAGGCTTTATGCCGTCAGCATCCCCTGGGCTGACCACCATTACAATCTTTCCAAGCTAATGATGATGGATTTAAAGTGGTTTCCAAACTGGCCATTGTTGGGGCTGGGGATTTAGCTCAGCGGCACAGCGCCTGCCTGGCAAGCACGAGGTCGTGAGTTCGATTCCCCGTACCGGCAAAAAACAACAACAAAAAAACCAAACTGGCCATTGTGGCACACTCCTGTAATACTATCACTCTGGAGGCTGAAGCAAGAGGCTTCCAAGATCAAGCCCAGCCTGAGCAATTTAGTGACTTAGCAAAGTGAAAAAGGGCTGGGGATGTAGCTCAGCTCAGCCCTGGGTTCAAATCCTAATACCACCTCCCCAAATGAGTGGGGATATAGCTCAGTGGTAGAATACTCCTGAGTCTGACTGCCTGCAGTACTACAGATAGACAGATAGAGAACAATAAATAAGATTACAAATAAAATATCTCCTATTATACACACCTATAATCCCAACTACTAGGGAGGCTGAGGCAGGAGAATTGCTTGAGTCCAGGAATTCATAGTCAGCCTAGGCACCACAGCAAGACCTTGTCTTCAAACAACAAAACCCACATACATAAAATGGCTTCCAAATCCATTATGTTCCCAGTGCTGACTGAGGCTTTCTCTTCAAGGAGCTTAAGCTGCAGCACTAGGTAATACAAGTTCAAAGTGGGAAGTGTGTGCCTTGACTCCAGCAAGGTAGCTCTGGTAAACACAGTCATCCACTCGTAACTTTCCCTCCTACTGCTGAGTACTGGTGGTCAGTACCGTGTCCAGATGCCCTGTTTGAAGAAGCAGGCTTGCGGGCCTTCCTGGGCTGCGGTTCCGGTGGTTCGATTTTCTTTCCAGCGCTTCTTTGGTGGAAGAAGCCTTTGTATTTCAAATGAAAGGGCTTCTCTCTGCTCTGCTAAGGGCCAGGTGTGTTGGTGCTACCTTGGTCAGAACTAGGAGGCCACACCAGACCAATACCCAGATGAGGGGGTGCTTTTCTTGGAATCCTCAAAAGGAAAAGCTCCTCTCCACCTTTCCTTTCTCTCCTTCCCTAGGTGAATGTGGGAAACATCTAAAAGGCAACCATTGGCAATACTCTGCCTTCTTGGAGGAATGTTCATGAATGTGCCAAAAACACTGATGCTTTGTCAGGGAAATTTTTTTTTTCTTTTTTTGGTCTTTTTGATACAGGGTCTCGCTATGCAGGTTGGTGTTGAGCTGTCTTTGTAGCCCAGGCTGGTCTTGAACTCCCAGTGATCCTTCTGCCTCAGTCACCGAAGTGCTGGGATTACAGGTGTGCGCCACCACGCCTGGCCTAGGCTGGTCTTGAACTCACAAAGATACTCCTGCCTCAGCCTGCCAAGTGCCGGGATTATAGGCGTGTGCCACCACGCCTGGTTTTGTCAGGTAAATATACAGGTCACAAAACTCTTATGTATGAAGACTAAATTTCTGCTGTTGTCTTTAAAATTCTAT